AAACAGAACAATGAAGAACCTATCACATGAGTGACCGAGAACTTCAACAAAAAGAAAAGCAAACACTTAAAGTACGGTGGCTGCTACTGTTTATATCTTACACCTGATATTAATGCATTCATTTCAGATCGAATATCTTGAGTAATTGCTCGCTAAGCCTGAAATTGTTTCATAATCTCATTATCTTCATTACCCATTTGAAATAGTTATATCTAAAATAAAACAATAGTGACTACATCGAAGAAAAACAAAATAGCTCACCTTTTAAAAAAAACATCGTATTATCAGGGTTTTATTATAAGTTCTAGTTGGTTACTCGAATATATACTCTGTGTTGCCATTCGTATCAAAAGAAAAAGGAAAAGATATGATTTAAAAGTAAGAAAAATTGTTATCGTGTCTTGTAATGGATATATTTTAATGAAATTAATCGTCGAAGAGAATAACAAAGATTTAATTATTAGACCACAATTATAACTAAATGAAACATTTAAGCAAAAATAAATATTATCAATAGCAAGCAAATATACATTAACATACTTAGAAGAATGGACAGAATTTTTCATATTCACTTGATATCTGCCATTATTCATTTTAAGGTGATATGCTCTACATAAAAAAAAGAACAAATATGATTAAGCGAAAGAAGAAAAAAACACACTAAAATATCTAAACATCGAAAGAAAACATTGTACTTACTAGGCAAGCTAAAAAATATGAACTGATAGGATAGTGACGAAGGAGTCATCCTTTTATATGACCGTTCGAGAGTGAGAAATTGAACAGGAAGGAAAGAAAAAAGCGCTACTATTGGCGCAATAATAGAAAGGAACAAAAAAGGCGCTAGCGCAGACGCATTTGTATTGGCTATTGTCTAGATAAAAGAACTAGAATTAATCAATGAAAATACAATAGACAGAGATTGGACGAGAGGGACACAGAAAAGAACGAACGAAATAATAGAAGTTTCTAGAATATGTGGCTACAGAACAAGAAATTGATATTAGATTTTATTGCGAAGAGAGATGAAAAAATACGAAAACGCACCATCGAATTCTACGTCGAATACATATTGTGATCTCTAGTAGGTTTTTTTTTGAGCAGAATCAATAGAATTTTTTTATTGATCTGACGTTGTTGTAAAATTATTTTCGTTATTTAATTTGTTTTTGTTCAAGATCGCCATAAAAAATATCTCCTATGAACCTAACGGTAAACGAAAACTATGAAAGAAACAGAAAAAAAACATTCTTTATACGATAACAAAAAAAAAATAAATTAAGCATTAGAGCTCACAGCTTATAAAAATAATTAAATAAAGAAAAAAAGATTAAATAAAAAAAATAGATAAAGAAATAATAAAAAAAAAATTAATAAGGAAATAAAGAAATACATAAAAACAAATTACATCAAAAAAATAGATAAAGAAATAATGAAAAAAAAATATATAAAAAAAATCAAATAAAGAAAATAGGTAAAGATATAATAAAAAAAAAATACATAAAACAAAATGCATAAAAAAAATATATAAAAAAAATTAAATAAAAAAATATTTAATTAAAAAAAAAAAAAATGAACAAATAACTAACAGCTAAACAATACCAAAACTTTCACTTACCTGATGATCAATTGAACGATGGAGAATATTGAAGAAATATAGAAATGAAAATACCTGGAGAAAACATTTGCTTGCAATGAGAACGTTGAATATTTATAGAATGAACGTAAGCAGAAATTGCACAATGAACATTTGACCGCTTGACCATTGTCAGCGCCAGGCCAATGACAAACGATATTAAAATATCCATATAGAGGGCACCACTATAGATGTCGCACAGTATCGGTATTATTCGATTCAGTGAAGTGAGCTCCAAACGACGTCAGTTCCAAATTCACGTATGGTACCATCCAGACCTTCTGTAGTCCGGATTTTAGCAAAAACTCGAAAAAACTGAAAAAACTTGAAAAAATCTGAAAAACTCGAAAAACTTTCAAAAACCTTAAAAACTTCAAAACACTTGAAAAACTTTCAAAAACCTTAAAAACTTTCAAAAACTTTAAAAAATTTGAAAAACTTAAAAAACTTAAAAAAGTTTTAAAAATAGAAAAAAAACCCAAAAAATTCAGGAAAGCTAGAAAACTCACAAATACTCAAAAAACTTAGAAAAGCTTAAAAAATGTGAAAAGACCGAAAAAATTTAGGAAAACTAAAAAGTTTAAAAAAGTCAGAGTTTTCTCGAAAATCTCAAAAAAAGTTGTAACACTCTGAAAAGGTTAAAAACGCGAAAAAATATGAAAAAAATATTTATTCATGTGGTGAACATTAATCTAATTCAATATAGATATATATTTTGATTTGAATCAACCTCATAATAAATACTGAAAAAAAAATTCTATCGTAGTGAATATTCATATAATCTTATATAGAAATACATTTTAACTTAAACTAACCTCATATTAAATGTTGAAAAAGAAATTTATTCATGTGGTCTTTATTGATCTAATTCAATTTAGAAATGTGTATTCCAAATAAAAGAAGCTGAGTGTCAAATAACTAAAAATGTTTTTTTCTGTAATTAAACCTGATTGAACTCGATATGGATATTAGTTTTGAATAAAACTAACTGAATTCAAAAAGTTGAAAAAAATTTTTTGTATTACAATTAGAGTTCATTCACTTACAACGTGAGATGAGGTTTCAATACAATGAACTCAATATGAGATAATAAAAAAAATTTCGAGGTGACGATTATCTTTTGAATTTCATTCGGATATGGATTCTAAATAAGAGTTATTCGATTGAGAATGTTGAAAAGGTGTTTTCCGTCATAATTAAAATTTATTAAATTGATGGTTGTATATGGTTTTTAAATAAAAGCGAGTTGAGTTAGAGTATCGAAAAACGTTTTTATCGCGATTGAAAATCATTCAATGTAATTTTGGTATGGATCTCGATGTGAGATGAATGTGTTGTAAAGATTGACATAAGTTATTGTATGGAAATTAAGAATCACTCGTTGCCGTTTAGATGTGGATATCGAAATAAATTAAGTGAATTACCAACATTCAAAAGAATTTTTTGATAATGGGATTCGTTGAGTGTCAATTGTATATTGATTTTAAATACAATTTGCTGCATTCGAAATACTGAATCAGCGTCTTTTTTCTTTGGAGAAAATGGATGCTGTTTAACTTATAAATGGGTGTGTTACAAATTGGAGATGCTTATCGGAATGAGACCTCAATTTAGCTTAGGTTTTAGTAAATGTATTCTGCATTTCCTCTTTTAACTTATGTTTGACGTTTAGCTTACTGTATCATTGCGACACTGTGGAGTGGGTTCTCTTCAGCTGTGAAGGGACCGATATTTTCCTGTTTTATACCAAGTGGAAAATAAGAAATCTGTGCGTTGGTTATGCGTCGGCTACCATCTCACTCCACCGGACGTTTGATGTATGCAAGAAAGTTGCTTTCTGTGCAGTTTCCGACGATTTCGTTAGGTCAGGATAACATAGACCACTGAGATGAGTTTTGGCTACTCGTTTTCGGCGTTTCGAGATGTTCGCGGCTTTTCTGAAAATCTGCTTTAACTGTCGAACAACGGATGTGTTGTCGTGAAGTTTTCGTTAGGCACTTGGAATATTTTAGTATTTACACTTTCTTCTTTATTTGAAAGGCTGTATTTATATTCCTCCTATTCTCATGACAAGACAAGTTTTAAGCAGATTTTGACTTTTGATAGTTTCGTATTTGTGCAGTTGTAAAACTCGTTGATTGCTCTCGGCCGCTGTTGAAAC